ATCTGCTAATTAGGATGGTTCTAATGATAGAATAATGTATAGAGTTAACAAAGATAGAATAAAACATTTGAATAAATTTGCTGGGATGTAAATATTGATGAAACATAAGAATTGACAATGAGTATGCTATTTTTTCTATCGTGAGTTACTTTTTAACACTATAAGAATATTTAATTTATATTAACTTAAATATCTTTTAAAGATCTAAAGCTGAATTACTGCGGTTAGGGAAATAAATTAGACCTTATATCTAATGTAAGGTATGATTATCAAAAGTTAATACCATATTATGAATACTTATCTTTTAATATCGATATTTATTGTATAATATTACATACCAGAAGATTCGAATAATCTGTAGATATTATCTAAGCATAAATACCATAAAGTGACATGTGGTAGATCCCCTATTAGATAACCCTGTGATGATTTATAAACTTAAATTTGACTTATATCTGCGTACAATCATGTTAAAGTTCAATGAATAGTACCTTAATAATACTCTTATATCTTGGAGAATACCTGGGTACTATACCCCTAATCAATACAATATACCTCTCCTACTTTCTTCGTACTCTCAAGACATTGTAAATATCCGGATACATCAGTTGGCACTTACGGTAATTGCTATATATAGTGTGTAAACACACGAATGATTCTATAAGGTAACTCATAATATATATAATAGTCAAACTATTGTTACTAATACATATAAATATAATAATCGATAAAAATTTTTTACTTTTAGCATTAGATCATAATGATCATCTTTTTTGTTTCAAAAATGTCATCTAATATTGACAATAAAGAACCTACCTCAACTAAAAAATCTGGTAGTAATACTCAACAAAGAACAGCTAGACGACCCTTTTATCCTGTTTGGGACCATTTCAATCAAGTAGAAAAAAAAAAGTGGCCATTATTTGGCTAGTTGCAAATATTGCCCACAACAGTGGTCACGTGACGATGTATCAACCTTCAAGATGCATATTACGCATAGTTGTCCTAAAGCTCCATTAGAAGCACAACTTTCTTATTTTAAGCAATTAGCAGAAGATGACGAAAATCAAAAATCAAGTAAAAAAACGGAAAGCAGACTTAAAAAATAAGGAAGATATCATTAAATATGTTGAAAATCAAGAATTACCTTTAAAAAGACAAGAACAACTAGAAAACGGCATGTGTTTTGCATTTGTTTGTGCAGGTGTCTCATTTAATGTTGCCGGCAATGAAATTTTTCGTGCATGGCTTCAGGATCTTAGACCAGGTTTTAATATACCTAGTCCTAGAACACTTGCAGGAAGAATTTTTAATAAACAAATTATTAAAGTAGAAGCGAAAATAGAAAATGAACTACAAAATAAAAATAATATTACACTTGGTATGTAAATATTATATATATATAATTAAATATATAATAATATTTTATATTTATTTTATATATAGCACTTGATGGATAGACAGATCTACAAGGCCGGTCAATTTGGAATTTTTTACTTCTAACACCTGACTGAAAAGAACATTTGTATACTTTGCGTAACTATTCAAATGCACGTCATACAGCAGAATTTCTCACACAAGAAATCAAAACAATTGTTACTCAAATTGGAGCTGAAAAAATTTGTGCTGTAGTAAGTGATAGTGGTGCGAATGTCGTAGCAGCAAGACGGCTAATTGCACAAAATTTTCCTCATATAATGAATATAGCATGTATAGCCCATCGGCTAAATCTTATTTGTAAAGATATTATGAAGGGATCTTTTTCAAAATGCATCTTGTCTCAAGCAATACTAGTTGCTCAATTTTTTAGATCATCTCATATTGCAAATTCAGCGCTTGAAAATGAAATTCAGATTAACAATATCGTAGGTGAAGGTATTAAACAATACGTAGCAACTCGTTGGTCAAGTTATTATGACTCAATTTATTTAATATTACGTTTAAAGGTTGCATTTGTTCGAGTAAGTTGATAACAATAAACTCTCGATATAGCAAAAATGATTTTTTTTAACCTAATAACTTTACTATTATATAAAACTAATTGTTATTTATTTATAAAAAGATTTTAGATCATAATCCAGATATTATTACTAATGATGAAGTATATGCGATTCTAAATAAGGGTTCATTTTATGATGATTTATATTTTATGACTACAATCTTACAGCTAATTAAAGAATCTATTGTCCAACTTGAAAGTTGTGATTCAACATTAGCAGACTGTTTTATTCATTTAATCAAATTGGCATCTACAATTTATCAAATACCTCAAGACCAACATGCTATTTTTCGAAAATATTATATTACTTCTATCAACAGATGACTTTTAGAGTTTAATAATGATGTATATTATTTGGCATACTTTTTACATCCAAAATTTAAAGGTAAATTATATATCTATTATATACAGTATACTGTATTTTCATGTAATAATGCTCACTTGCACGTTGTTTTAAAAACATACACATAATTTTGAGCACATGCATATGCATTATTTTGAGCTGAAGGAAGATATTTATATAATCAGATAACTTACATTGATCCAAACTTGCGCATTATTTTGGGATGCACATAGACATCATTTTGAAACTATACATCTTACTTTAGATGACACAATTTTTGAAATAATGCTTATGAGCATGTTACATAAAAATACAGTATTTTTATTATCTAGTTGTTTTGATATAGTGTCTCATGCTTGCTTACTTTAAAATTTATTATAATACTATATATGTATATTAGATCATGGTTTTAAAAAGGGTCAATATAAAAAAATCTCAAAATGTGCAGATGCTTTGTGGAAAGCTTTTGGTAACACTAAAAGCTCTTGCCAACAACTCTTAAGACAACTTGCTTTCTACAAAGAAAATGAATCACCTTATAATGAACCATTCGAACCTGATTGCCAAACACCACAAACATGGTAGAAAACAATTGAAGATGTTTACAATCATCTTCCTACTTTATCAATTAAACTTCTTAATATTACTCCGCATTCCGCCTCTTGTGAAAGAGTTTTTTCAACTTTGGGATGGATCTATGGAAAAAAAAGAACCGGATTAGCATTTGAAAAAGTAGAAGCATTAGCAAAGATTCATCGATATTACACAACACATGCCAAAGAAGAAATTTCTTATATTAATCGTGAGCTTACTTTAGGAGATGTATTAACTATAGCAGACGAAGCTGGGGAGTTAGATGATAATGATTCAGATGAAGGCTCTATCGAAGATGATGAAATAGAATTTGAATCGTTAGATGAGCTTTTAAAATTGGAAGAAACTTTTGACTTAAATCATGAAATTTTTACAGAAAAAGGTCAAAGTAATAGTATAGAATCAAATTCTGAAAATGTAGTTGAAGAACAACCAAATTATGACTATAATGTAGATAATTTAATTGATGAAATGTTTGCCAAATAAAAAATTTCAAGTTGGATAATGTATTAATATATTATCTTAAATAAACTACTACATAATATTCTGTGCCTAATTTTTTTTTTTTAAATATAAATTATTAACGAATAATAGATCAGGCTAGAACAATGCGATTTAATAAAGCAATTGTGAGTCTCAGAAAATTTATAATGTAATCTATTGCAAATTCTAAGGTCTTAGTTCTGTTGGCATAGCAACTTCAAAGCCATGAATGTTAGCAGCTTTTATGAATAACTGATCTTGTAAAGCTTCAGAAGTACTGTATGGTAAAACCTCATAAACATAATTTATAGACCTTGACTTATAAAAATCTGCGTAAATGCACCTTGTATTATGAATGTTTTAAAATACTATGAAGTAACTTTAATTTAATCTGCTAGATAAAACTTCAAATTTCTATTTTTAAGCGCTTATAAAAAATTCCAGTATCAGTTTATTGAATATTGTATTTTTTTTTGTATTAAGTTAATTGATATAAATGCTGCTAAGAGAAAATGAGACTTCGGACTTTCAATAATATTTTGTTCGGGACACAATCCCTAATAAATTAAATAGATATGTCCGATACAAAATATAATCGAAAGCCTGAAGTCTCATCTTCTATGACTGATATAATGCATTCATATGATTATCAAAATTAAATAACCTACTTTTTTTAAAAGATCATGAAGATTTCTATTAGAACTGAACAGGGTCTTGAGTATAACAACTCTAGATGGCTCACAAAAATCACCAACCTTTCGAATACTATCAAACCAAGTTGCAGAATACTTTTTTTTTTTTTTTTGATATGTTTAGTTTATCCGATGAATATATTTATTCAATAATATGATTATATGAATCGGTGAAATCTCTTCATATAATTGTTGACATCCTTATTTCCGCTTGCCCATCTTGAATCATTATATCAGAACTAGATGTGAGACATCATGCTTCAAGCGTTATTTATAATATAATAAAGGGTTAAAATATCAACTGAGAACTTGTATTATGCAAGGCGTACATGTGTATTATTTTAAACATCTGGTTCAGGAAAGAATAACACGCCTAGATATGGGTAATTATTTTTTTACAAATTTAATTACTATATATATACATATTATATTTGTCATACGTTATGATTACTACGTATATGTGATTACTACATTACTACAGTATATAATATTTACTACATGTAGTTTAAATTACTACATGTAGTAAAGATTACGACATGTAGTAATCTTTACTACATGTAGTAATCTTTACTACATGTAGTAATCTTTACTACATGTAATAATTATTACTACAATTATGGTTTCAAAAAGTCTTTGTAAAAATATATGTAGTAAATATAATTGTAGTAATTAGCTAATTATGGCGACATGCTTTATCCAACACTATACATTCCATCAACGTCTCCTATCTCTGCTGATTTTTGATAATAAATGAATGCCTTATGTTTATTCTTTTCAACTCCGATTCCTTTTTCATAACAATATCCCACATTATATATTCCACTAGCGTCTCCCATCTCTGCTGCTTTTTGATAATAAATAAACGCCTTATGTTCATCCTTTTCAACTCCAATTCCTTCATCATAACAATACCCAACATAGAAAATTGCAATTATATATCCCATGTTTGCAGATTTTTTATAGTATTCAAAAGCCTTATATTCGTCTTTCTCAACATCGATGCTATTTTGGTATTTCAATCCAAGGCTGCAGAGTTCTGCGCCCGTTTGGCTCATGGTTAAAAACATATATTGTACGTACTAGTACATACACAAAATTTAAGTTGACAGAAGTCAACAGATTGAAAAGATGGTTAAACAGGGATATACTGTACAAGTGGAAACCTTGCTAGGTCGTGCAGGCTAGACCACCAGATTCAAGCAAGTATTAATGGTTAATTTGACCAAATCAAGCAGGCAGATGAAACACATGTATCACAGGTTAATTAGTAACCCCGGAAATTTGTAGTGCTGGGATATATCGATATGGCGTGATCTGGAATATATTAATTAAAAGTCTAATATTTTGAATATTTTGATAGTGTAACCAGGATAATTATATACCGGAGATAATCTTGTATTTAAAGAGATGAGATCTATACGTCAGTAAGAATTACAGAAATTTCCTATAAATAGCGTCTCTTTTCACAGATCTTTACGATTTCAAGTGTTAATGTACTTGCAAAAACTTTATCGATATCAAATTTTTTCTAATTCGTTAATTATTTGAGAAACATCCGCATCTCTCTCAAGATTCATATACGTAATGTGGCAGATTAAAATGAAATCAGATTAAAATGAAATGAGCGATAGTGTAAAATAGACAAGCCACCGAAAAATAC